CAATAGGCGTCTAGATATGAGTTTATTTTTATTCATGTAATCTCAAGCTTTCAGGTATCCCTGCCCTTCTACTGGAGTACATAAAACTAATAATGATAACGGCTAACGGATAACGGCGTTTATTATTATTCCTCTTATGTACTGTAGAATGGCAGAGATACCTGAAAACTTGAGATTACATGGAAAAAAAACTCATCTCCAGAAACTTGTTATATTTTAATCTATATTTAGAAGATTTGAATTAAGTGAATAGGAAAAGTCTATATTTAGGTTTAAAATAGTATTTAGTTTAAAATTTTCAATATTTCGATGAGGGCATTCACCTATCTTCTTCTGAGATTCAAACTTCTTATAAGCTTATGATCCACTTAATGTACGAGAAGTATTTAATGTATTTAGAATGGATGTCTCTTATTTTCAACAAAACTTACAATAGAAAATTGAAAGAAAAAGTTTCATTAAACAATTTTACAATAAATATTTTAAATTAAAACAAATAACACCTGAGTTTTGGAAAATTCAAACAAAAAGCTAACCTGTATACCATGGTTTCGTGCTATAGCCCTTATCAGTATAGAGGCGGCTTCGATTTCATAACATCCTACCTGGGGGAGGGTTCGTTACTTTACGGTCAAACCCTGTTTGTATCTTCAAACTAGTTTTACATTAAACTGAAACATATGCCCAATGGCTATGCAACACAAGAGAAGTATGCAGGAAAAGTATGCAAATAGCTGCATAGTCGTAACTCAGTGAGTTATGCAAATTATGTAAAATATGCAGCTGTTCCTCGCACGTTGATGCGTCATAAAGAACGGAACCTGTAGAATCAGCGTTGTTCTGTTAGATCCTCATCTTTGTTATTTCAGAAGGAACGTGTATATTCAAATTTAGCCATAAATACCCATTTCTTGATTTTTCAGGAAGCCTCTTAGATCAAATTTTTGGTCTTTGAGGTACAGCCTACATCACGCTGAAGAAGGCCAACAGACCTAAACGCGTACTTGGTTGGCTTTTCTTGGTTTATAAAAGAAACGCCTTGACTCTCGAGTTATCTTGTGAAGGGAACTACTTTGCAATGGAATCTCAATGTTAAAAACAAAATGTATATGTTCGAAAATATATTATTACTCTCATTCATTTTCTGTCATATCTCTCGTTATAAAAAATTAATAGAAAGATTACAAGATGTTTCTTTCTGTCATGAAACAATTGACTCTCATGCGTTTGTCCTACAGAATCCGTAAATCTCATGACATCTTTAAAGATAAGATTAGAAGATAATCATTCTTCTGAGCAGAGTGACAGCGAGTGATTGAGACATTGATAACTATATAAAATATTGGTTAATATAGCTATATCATTTTCAAATCAAACTTCCAACCAAGAAATGAGGACATGAGGAACAGACGCCATGTACAGCCGCTCCTAACATGGAGTACAAACGCTGCTCATCCTGTATCCCTGGAGCCCTTACAGGGTACTATCAGCCGGGCCAGCTGAGCCCAAGTTTTTTAGCGAGCTTGTTACTGCTCCCCCTCCTCCTTTTTGATCCGGGCTTGGGACCGGCAAAGGTGGAGTTTACAGAGCATTAAGTAAATAGAAGAATCACAAAAACTCAAGATGTTCAATTAACATATTCACCAATAATGTGAGGGTTTGTTAGTGAAGGAGTGATAGAAACTGTTCATTTTCGACATACACGGCCCTGAATTGAATCGTACATTATACACTTTCTTTCTGAAATTCAAATTGCTTCAATGGTTCCTAATTCTTGAGAAATTCCAAACCCACTAGTAAGTGCAAGCAATCAAACGGTTCTGTAGCAAATTTGTAAATCTAAAAGTCTACTTTCTCTCTACATGCGTAAAGGGCAACTAAAACTATAGTAAATGCAACTAAAAGGCAACTTTCAATAGATTCCCTCCCATGTTAATATACCACTTAATGTGAAGAAGTTGATGAGTTTGCAAAAAAAGACATGTCACCTACCACACACACACAATCAATAGTAACAAACTCAACTTTGAAGAAATATACACAAGTACCAAAGGAATGAAAAGAAAGCAAAACTGAGATATCCACCAAATCACCAATGGTACAGACCATTGAAGTCTTCTTCTTCTTTCTTATTTCCACACTGGGTGAAGTGGAATGCGTCTGCCTTTGTCATTAAGACTGGGAGCACTACTCAGTGGCAGGCCGACTTAGCTCCAAAAGAAATGGCCGCTTCTGACATGAGGAACAGACGCCATGTGCAGCCACTCCTAACATGGAGTACAAACGCTGCTCATCCTGTATACCTGGATCAGGAGTCCTTACAGGGTACTATCAGCCGGGCCAGCTGAGCCCAGGTTTTTTAGTGAGCTTGTTACTGCTCCCCCTCCTCCTTTTTCATCCGGGCTTGGGACCGGCGGAGTTTACAGACCATTAAGTAAATAGAAGAATCACAAGAGAAACCAACAAATAGCTTTAACAAGATTAAAACCTTTACAAATGATTATCATAGACTGTACTAAGTGTGATTAGGATAAATAAAAAAGAATATAAGCTTTCCAAAATGTAGATATCAAATTTACATAGAAGAAGAGTTAAAGCTCAAGAACTAGTCGTTTTACAATAAATTTGTCTGTTTATTTTACTTGTAATAACGTATTTTATGATACATCATTGCGCCATATGTTATGAGAATTCGATACTATTATAGAGGCGTATGATTCTTTTAAATATTAAACAATTTTTAATTGCAGTAAGGGCAATAGCGTGAGAAAGTTGTTTAATTTTTTAAATAATCATACGCGCCTATAATAATTTCGAATTCTCATAACGTATTTTATAGGTAAAGATAGAGGCTGTCTGGCCGGCATTCATATTTCTTTAAAAAAATAGACACTTTCGGCCAGTTTTTTCAACACCTTGTTGAATGCTGTATTTTATTTATTTCTCCTGACGAAGACAAAATATCTTTGTTGACGTTGAGAAAAAAAACTTTAACTGCCCGAAGTGTCCATTTTTTTTTTAATAAAAAGAAGTATTTTATAGGTATCGTCAGATTAGATGTCCTCATGTCATCATCCCAGTTTCTACAACGACATTCTAGCAAGACTCCAGGAAGTGGTACAGTATTCCATAAATAGCCAGCCGACTTCGCCTGGTACAATATTGGAACGTCCATATTGGATGACAATGGTGTCAAGAAAGAGATGTCAATATGAATGGCAGGTTAGTTTGTCTTAGCTCGGTCAAATAGAGCAAACGGCCGGGATGAACAAGGAAGTCTGCACCAATGGGACCATTCTTACAGGTGTCACTATTGAATCAAACTGCTCTTTTTCAAATACATTCCCTAAAAATAGTTCCATACCTTTGGTTTTTTATTTTAAGAATTTGCTTCAGCATGAAAAAAAGCTCTAAATGTCACTTTCGCTCTTACAGAATGGCATTGCTTCAATACAGAAACTCTAATAAAGCTAAATGGCCGTGTCTTTCAGTATGATAATATAAGGTTTTCCCAAAAGTTCTTGTTTTTCTTGAAACGTTTTTCTTATTACTTGGCGAATAATATTATTACGGCGAGTACATAATAATACAATTACTTCATACATAAAACAAAGACATTATACATAACGGCGAATAATATTGGTATTTCCATTTTTGCAAGTGTTTATGAACTTTTAGGACAACCTTGTAGTTTTAATTCTTATTAAAGACTCTGTCAACTTGAGTGATTGACTGAGTTGTTAACAATATGGGATTACAGAATGGATAAAGAAGTTGGATAGAAAATTGATTTATTTGTAAAAGAATCATACGCATCAACACTAGTTTAAATATCTTATTAAATTGTAATTGCAAATACATAATAATATGTATTACAATTACTTTATACATAATACAAAGACATTAGTCACACACATACAGTTTTATTAAGACCATCAGCCTTATACAGATTCACCACAGGAAGAAATCATAGATGGAGTTCCTATACTCCAGGTAGCTCAGAGCTCAATAGCCTCCAGGTCCGACGCATATCCAGTTCCACAGAATCCATCGTGCATAGGTTAGCGTATTCTTCCATTTTAATATTGATAATCGACGTATATTTATTCCCTGTTTTAACATATTATAAATGGTCTAAATCATTGTTAGATTTCAAAGACATTATTCATAACGACGAATAATATAGGTATTTCAATTTTTGCAAGTGTTTACAAACTTTTGGGACAACCTTGTATAAATGAAGCACCTTTTCAATCAATCAATATCTTTATTAAGACCTTTAGTCTAATATATATATGGATTTTGTAGATAGAAATTGTACTAATGTTATATTAGACTAATTTTATATATAAATATAAAGGTAGAATTTTTCTATTTATCATTACTCTTCCCAATTCATCCTTCCATACCTCATCCTTAAGGTTAGAAATAATCGTCTTTCTCCTTTAAAAAAATTTTTGATTTTTAGTTGAAAAGAAACCCATACGGGATAATTTTCGAATGTCGTTTTGCAATCACAAGGCCGCATTATATTATATTATAAAGGTAGAATATTGAGGATTATATATATATATATATTGAAAATAAAGAATGTATATCCTGACCAGGAGCACATGTGATTTTTATCATTATTAATATTATATATGTGTATGCTAAAATGAATGTACAATTGACATATATTCAACTACCATCAATCAAGAGAGAATAAAAATGAAACAAACAAAAATAAAATTTAAAATTTACATATGTGATTACTCTCAAATTCTATGTGCTACAAATGATGCTTCAATTTACTGGCAATAGGCTGCCATAAGTATGTGGTATTTCAATGTATTATTTATAGATTGGTGGCTGTTGGTTATACGAGCTTCCAGAATTCAACGTTGTTGTTTGTTATTGGAGTAATGGATGGTGGGTTCTGATAGGTTGACCGGTGTCTCTGATATATATGGTCTTGGTCTCTGATATAACTATAGTGTTCACTTACCCCCACATTGCCTATGGGCATACCACATTGAATACACAGGTTCTCGTCCGATCACTGAAGTTAAGCAATGTCAAGCCCGATCAGTACTTGGGAGGGTGACCACCTGGGTGTTGTAGGCTATTACCTTTTGGGCTCGAGAATCCTACATTTTGGTTAGTAGCTCGTAAAACCGTTTTCTTTCTACCCCACACCAATGTCTCCTATATACATACCTAACTCCACCATCTCTACATAAAATGGAATAAACTGCTTTTGTTTTTATCGAATGGATAACGTGAATACTGATTTTGGTGTGAGTATGTCTAACTACATTGCCAATATTGGTGGAACCGAGTTCTAACACCATACTGTAGACTCTCCTATAACGCGATTTCGTACAACGCGATAAAAAAAATTGCGACAAATTTATTTATACAACGCGAATTTTTGTATAACGCGTTATAAAATAAAATGCGGAAATTTACTTATTGACAATTGTACAATACATTTGCATATAAAATAATATAACATTTAGTTTTGTTTTAGTATATAATTATTTTTCCTATATACATCATTTTATACAATACATTTTTACATGATATTTGTCACTAACAATTTACCTTAACAACATTCGCGTTATACAAGTTTTATTTCGTACAACGCGAATTCCTATAACGTGATTTCATACAACACGGAACACATTAATCGCGTTATAGGAGAGTTTACTGTATTTCCATAGTGTACGAGCTATGGCAACACTTTTGGATGAGTAATGTAAAGTACATTTGTATACAGGATTGGAGCGAGTGTTGTTAAGTTCTTTAAAATGGCTTTGTAGGAATGAAATGGCGTATCCACATATTAAATCACTTAGTATATTATATTAATATACAACAACAACAACATGAGCCTTTATTGGGCACACGTGCCATACAGGATTCTCCCGGTAGGACAAAATAAAAAAATAACAAATTAGCATCATAGTTATATACAAACTAGCCGAATGACCCGGGCAACGCCCGTGTTTTACCCGATTGAATGTTTTGATTCAAATACTATTTGTTACAATTATAAATTGGCGCCTTATATAAATGCATATGTTAGTTAATAACTATAGCCTATGTGCTTTATCTGTCTATATACTGTTGGCTTCCGTAGGCGTCTCTTACTGGGAAAAAGAAAGAGAGGATTCCATTTGGTTATTAACTAATATATGCATTTATTTAAGGAGCGACCCGCTCCAACACAATGGTTACAAAAACGAAAAAGCGAGTGGGGGGCATGATGGGGGGGGGGGGGGGGGGGGGGCAAAGGTAGGTGATCGTAGCCAACCAATAGGAGGGCGCCATTCCAGAAAAAAAGCAAACGGTGACAGAGATGACTGATTAAGAGATGAAGAATGACGCTCGTAACTGTATATACAAATATTGGGTATTGACCTCGACCAATTATCGTGTTGGATCAAGTGTCTGTGCTAAACATTTTAATTGAGCTGATTTCCAGTATTTATAAAAAGCTAATGCAAAGGGTCTGGATTTTACGACTTTTGCCATTAAAACATAAGGCGAATTGCTATTATAGCCGGTCTCTTGACGAAGAATTTCTCTTTCTTCTTCCATTGCCGTGCAGTAGAGCATGTAGTGTGGAAAATCAAGACTAAATTCACCGTTGCATAAGGTGCATTTTATGGTCTTAGTTTTCAATAGTGAAACATGATTAATTCTCTGTACTACAAAAAGGCTTCTTACTTGTGCAATGATTCTCTTTAAGGTAAGGGGGATATTGTCATTCAGATAGCATTCCATTGCAGGTGATGAATGAAAGTATTTATAGTGAGAGTAGAGTACTGATTTTCTTATTCTTACATAATCCTGCTGCAAGGACTGATCGGTTGCCGTTCTAATAATATTATATTAATATAACAGTAATAGTAATAATTAATCATCAATGTAAGTTACGATGTATTAAATAGGGGGAAAAGAAAGAAATCACTTGGTCTAGACTTATATACAAGCTGTTTGTTTAAACTCATTTTTATTGTTTTTATTTCATTCTTCATTGTTATTGTGCTCTATTAATTTGTAGATATATTCATTGATTATTAGTTTTTTATGTTTGTTTATTTTTTTTTCTTAATTCGGCAAAAGTGTGTTGTTAATATATATTTTTTTTTTGTTTTGTGATTTAAATTAAAAATCGTATTCATTGATGTATATGTAAAATTCTAAATTCTTTTGTTTTTGTTGTTTGTAGTGAATTAAAAAATTCTAAACTCTAAGTCAAGTCTTTGTTTTATTCTAAAAGGTCTCCTCTTCTTCTTTCTTATCTCCACTCAATCCTATTAGGGTATTAAGTTGTGACCCTTGATGGTGTCTGACAACCATCATGACTGGGCGAAGTAGAATGCCTTTGTCATTAAGATTGGGAGCACTACTCAGTGGCAGGCCGACTTAGCTCCAAAAGAAATGGCCGCCTCTGACATGAGGAAAAGACACCATGTACAGCTGCTCCTAACATGGAGTACAAACGCTGCTCATCCTGTATCCCTGGATCAGGAGCCCTTACAGGGTGCTATCAGCCGGGCCAGCTGAATACAGTTTTTTTTTTTTTTTTTAGTGAGCTTGTTACTGCTCCCCCTCCTCCTTTTTCATCCGGGCTTGGGACCGGCAAAGGCGGAGTTTAAAGGCGGAGGTTAAAGTTAAAAGGTCTCCTGGAGAAGAAGAACTCAAACTCGGTGAAACACTTATAAGATTTAAGTATATGCGAACATAAGCAATCGAGAACAAGAGTTTATTTTCTTAAAAACCAATAATTGTTAGTATAGACAGATATTTAGATAGGTAAAAGTGAAAAGTGAATGTACAACAATGTCATAATTACCAGACATCTATACAGTTTTATACATAGATGGATCAAGGGTAGAGAGTTGTCTATAGTCGGAATATAAAACCTTAGGGGGTGTCTTTTCCTATATCCATAACTATTTAAATATTTGATTTCATTTTTTCCTTTTTCTTTTTTTATATGGTGAATCATTACAAGTAAAAATGCTTTTAAAAAAATGTTGTTGTTGTTAAATATCTATTTAACTACAAGGATGTCCCAAAAGTTCTTAAACACTTGCAGAAAATTGAAATACCAATATTATTCGCCATAATATTATTCGCCGTTATTTATAAAGTATTTGTATTATGTATAAAGTATTTGTATTATGTATTATTATGTATTCGCCGTAATAATATTATTCGCAGTGATAATAAAAACAACGTTTTAAGAAAAACACGAACTTTGGGAACAGCCTTATATTTTTGATGCGTATGATTCTTTTTAAAATAAATCCATTTTCTTCTGCCCTTACTGCTTATCAGTGGTGAACCCTCCTAGCGGTTTCGTCAGTTTAATCTACCATACCATTGTAATATTGTATATTCTACTGTTTTCTTTTTATACTAATACTGAATCTATATTCTTGGAATTGGAATTTTCTTCATGTATTCGCCGCGTAATAATATTATTCGCCAAGTGATATGGAAATGAACGTTTTAAGAAAAACACAAACTTTTGGGATAACCTTATATCATATGGCCTTTTCAGATGACATGAATATGAGCAGTAACTGCCTTTCTTGTTGTACAAGTCAGTATTCATAGGCTAGAGATAACATGGAAACTTGTTCTTTGGTGTGAACTTGGTTTTAACGCCGTTTTCTGGGGAATTCTATAATCATATAGTAATTTACAGCAAACCATTACTCAACCAAGAAATTCATTTATTCTTATTTCCATTTTATGAATTACTTCTTGTTTCCAATTTTAGAGGTCTTCCATATTAATGGGATGGGTCAAGGAACAATAAAATAAATGGGAAACGAAGTTATTCTCTCTGTAATTCTTGGATGAAACGCCAAAACAACCGTGATGTTGGTCAGAAGTCAGTGTAAATAATTCAGTGATGTGTGTGAAAATGAGGTAGGCGACTGGGAAAAATGAATATTTATTGAGGGTTGTTGTAACGTTCGACACTATTGCCTTGAACTCCCTGGCCTCATTAGATTCCTTTTCACAGAATTGAACATTTCATTGGAAATATTGATGTTCTAAACACCAATATCTTCATTTTTACGTATTTGAACACTTATATATTTATCTATTTGAGATATTTATTTAAAATGTCCAGATATACACTCATGGACAAAGGAAGTTGTACCTTTTAGTATGTATATCGGGATTCAGACAATAACTCTGAAATATATACTCATGGACAAAACTTAAGGAAGTTGTATCTTTTAGCATGTATATCGGGATTCAGACAATAACTCTGAAAGATACACTCATAGACAAAATTTAAGGAAGTTGTACCTTTTAGCATGTATATCTGGATTCAGACAATAACTCTGATACACTCATGGACAAAACTTAAAGAAGTTGTATCTTTTAGCATGTATATCGGGACTCAGACAATAACTCTGAAAGATACACTCATAGACAAAACTTGAGGAAGTTGTACCTTTTACCATATATATCAGGATTCAGACAATAATTCTGAAAGATATTTGATACACAGTGATCTTTATTGGAGACACACGAGATAACCAAGTATGAACAAAATTGCCTCTGTCTCCTTCAAAAAAAAAAACAGACGACAGGCGATATAAAATACCATTCACTTCCATAAGTTTCGCCCATGAGTGTATGTTTTGAAGCTTTGTAAATATATATGTGCGGTGTTCATGACCATTTTTCTGAATGCGTCGTAACCTTTAAAATAACTTTTCATGTATGCATTTTGGTCTGTATGAATGTTTATATCAGAAGGAAGGAAAATATTCTTTAGAGCAGAATCCTTTAATAATACAATACAGATATTATTTTTTCGGGGGTCAGTGGACGGATGGTCTAAACCGTTGGTTTTCGACCGCTACGACCCGGGTTCTATTTCCGCATTGGGCACTCTTTTCTGATTTGAAAAAAAAAATGCTCCAATAGCCCCCGATTCTTGCAAAAGTCCAACCCCACTAGCTAGTGCAAGTAACCAAACGGGGTTCTGGCATATTTGTAAGCGCAAAGTCGAACTGCTTTTCACATGTGTAGACCTGTGATGCACTTACAGTAAAAGTAGTCGCCTACTTCTACCCACCATG